TTGAAATTAAAAAGGCCGAAGCAATGTTAGAAGGTGTTGAAGAATCGAGAAAAAAATCTCATGATGAATCTTCAACTACTCCAACAAGAAATAATAACAATGATATAAATAATGGTGTTTTGTATGACGTAGCCGGTAATGGTTATAGTTATAATTTTGTGATTTTTTAAAAAAATAGAACAAAAAAAAATCAAAAAGGGGGGAAAATATTATTTATTTGAATAAATTTATGTTACACTCAAGAGTAAAATTCGGCGAATTTCGAGCCTATGATGAATTCGAAAAGGTATAGCCTCTCGATATTTTCACAATGTATTTTTAGAAAAGTTTGTATAAAATTCCGCAGATTTTATTTTATCCAAGTTGATAAAATTTAAACGTTACACTGCCTACCATCGATCCAAAACCATGGATTCATATATGGAGAATAAGTAAAATAATCAGTCAAATAACTTGAAGATTTTTTTTTGCGTTATTCGAAAGGTTGTGGAATTAGATGGTCCTGAAGGCTATTTTTGCTGGCAGTTGTGCATTTTGGGTATTTTGGGCATAGGGTAAACTACGTATTTTACTATTATTATTACCCGATTTCTTTGAAAAGTTTATACACAATTGTTGCACGAATTTAAATTCATTTTTTTATTATGTTCCAAAATGTTAAAATTTTAAATTTAAAAAAATACTTTGAATTATTTACCAGAATGCCGTCTTCTTTCTTTGTTTATCATCATCAGAACTTTCAGTCTCACCAGTATCATAAAGAATTTCATTTGTTTTTTCCTCGTTCCATTTTTCTTTAAAATACCCACATTTTTCCAAATGATTTAACACGCTGCTTTTTACTAGTAAAAATTTGTGTATTATCACCAAGAACGTCTCTGTATGCTTTATACTGAAACTTTTTTTTATTAAATTGACTATTAGAATTATTCTCAACTAATATTATATCATTAGTCAATTGATGATTTGGACACCATTGTTGGATACGGCATCTTTATTTAGTGTATCTTTCTTTATATCTTTTGTTTTGGATAGTATAACAATTATTTTACAAATGCTCAAATTGTTTCGTCCAGAGTGTACAAATCCCAGCACTGCCGTAAATGAATATATAAAGTTGCTGAAAGTGAAAATACATTGATTACATATATACGTACCAAAGAGACATTCCTTTATTATCAGTCACATGGAAAGTGAAGGCAAGTTCGACAAAAATATTCCTCGGCAACAATAGTGAATTTATTTTGATGTCATTATTTTCTAATGAACGCTCTGTTTGTAGGTTGCTATTAAAGAATGTTTAATAGAGAAGAAGCTGAGACTTGAAATAGTGATGAATGCACGTCCAAAGAATAAATCCAATAATTAAAACACAACGGAATACTTCAACTGCACCCAACGCCATCATCAAACCATAATAAGGTGAAGCATGCTAATAAAATACGCAGTACAATGATTTAAAGTGCATTTAGTCTTAATATGTATTAGTAAAAGTATTGGCCAATCAAATTTCTATTAATATTTAATAAAATTCAAAGAAAAAAAAAATAGATCTATAAATAAAAAGATTTGCTTTTCCCACAAAATTTTTCAATTTTTTTTCTTTCCGCTTTCCTAGCCATCCACATTTAATAGAATACTGTACTGACAAACTTTCATAATATTGGCAGATAGCTTAACTAACCATGGAAGAAGCACTTACTAAACCAAGGAATGTTACCCATACTTTATATAAATTATACAACTGGTTGCAAATGGGAATAATTGACCTTAATCCTGAATTCCAAAGAGGTAAATGCCCTGCTTGTCTTTTTGCATTATATATGTTACAGTCGATAGATAGATATAATTATATATGCGTATGTATGGCATTTAATAAATATCAATAAACAAAAATTTACTAATAATTTCTGCGCCACGCTTCATATATATCAGATGTTGTATGGACAGGTAATTTATTGATATAGCATTATGTTAAATTCTGTCTATTAATATCAAATATTCAATGAATCCATTCTGATGATTGTCTAAAAAAATTTTTCCGATAGCAATTAAACAATCTCATCTAATAGATTCAATCCTTAACAACTTTTACGTTCCGCAACTAATTTTTTGTT